CCTAAACCCCCCCTACCCCCTAAAACCTAAACCTAACCTAAATTAGTTCATAAATTTCAAACTCTAAAATTACCTATGGAATCTTTTTTTTAGGAAATAGAAGATAATATCAAATTCTAAATTCTAAATATTAAGCACCAATTTATAGAATTATTTCAAAACTATAAATTCCATTAATTATTTAAATTTATATATTAAAAATCTCAAATATATTACTATTGCTCACAAATATATATTTAAACTTTCCGACAAATATATCAAATAATAGACAAATCTAATAATACATCAATTACAAAATATTATAAATATCCATAATTACTATCATTACTTAATTTTATTATTTAGATCTCCAACCGCTTTTCTAGTTATACTCCTAAATATAGTTGTCATCTCAGTTTAATACTGATTTGCGTCTATCTCACCTATCTCAACCAATAAACTCAACTATTAATCTATAATACCTAGATTAAAAGGAAGATTTCTAAATATTAATTAGAAAAGATTATTACTGACTTTCTATTTTATTTCAAATACTTATTTAGCTATTCATTTCAAAATTATTTCCAATACAGTATCTTTCATTATTTTATATATTTTAAAAGCTAATGTTTAAAGTCCTTTTTGTCATTTGTCTATACATATTGTCTATTTACTTATCTAACAAGTATATTCCATCTTGTTCATCCATTTGTCTACTTAGTACATCATCAGTACGGGAAATAGGAGAGTTATTAAGACGAATAGGGGATGAAGAAAACGAGGAAATAGAGAGAAGAAGAGAAAGAATGAGATTAGCACAAGAATTAAAGGCTATAGCAGATGAACAAGATGGTGAAAAATATCAAAGAAGAGGAATAGATGTGTTAAGATCAATTGGAGACGAAGAAAATGAAATGCAAGTGCGACGAAGACTAAGAGAAGCTCAAATGCAGAGAGGATTACAATTAATGCAGGTATTAAGACAAACAGATGATAGACAAACACAACAAACAGATAATAGACAAACACAACAAACAGATAATAGACAAACACAACAAACAGATAATAGACAAGCACAAACACAACAAACAGATGATAGACAAACACAAACACAACAAAGAGAAATAAGAGAATTAGGAGACATGGCGGCTTTACTAAGAAAAATAGGAGATGAGGAACAAGAGAGAGCGGAAAATAAGAGACAAGTAGAACAAAAACCAAAAAACCAAAAAGTAGTGGAAATGGAAAATATTTCAAAGTGTCCTAAAGATAAGGAAAACGAAATATTACAATCAAAAGAAGTGCAAAGTTTATTAGGAAGAATAGTAGCTATATTGAAGTCAGTAGGAAATAAGTGTGAATCAGTTGTTAAGGAAGCATTACAAAGAGAAAAACAACCTATCTTAAGTGAAAGTCAAGCTGAAGAAACCCGAGATATGCAAGCTGTAAAGGAACTTTCTAGTGGAATAGAAGATGAAGAAGAAAGAAAAAGAAACGAGGCAGCTAGAGAACTGGGATCTCTGTTGAGATGTTTAGGAGATAAATTACAAGAAGAGGTAGAGGGAACAGGAAAACAAAGAGGTGCAACAGATTTAGTACCAAGAAGATTAGAATTTCAAGAAGAAACAAGGCGAAGTAGTGCAATAGAATTAGGAGAACTCCTAAGAGAATTAGGAGATGAAGAAGAAGAAAGGCTAAGAGATAGGAAAGAAAGAAAGGACTATAAGGAAAGAGAAAAAAAAATTCAAGAAGTAGTATCACTATTGGAAAGAATAGGAGATGAAGTAGACAAAGAGGTCAGTTTATAAATAGAATAAAGTAAAAATAAAGTAGAAATACAAGAGAAATTATAAATTTAACAAGATTATTATATTAAATAATAATTAAAAGTGAGACATTTCGAAATAAAATAATATATTTTGATTCACTCTTAATAGTTGGGTTTTAATATAAATAATTAGTATTAGAGGTAACTCTGAAAAAGAAATGATGACATGGAAGGTCAATTTTAATTATTTCTACTTTACATATGTAAGTTCTATGATACTGAGGATATTTGTTCTAGTTATAGCACTTATACATTAATATTATGTTGTCATGTATAAATTATAAATCACATTTTATTTGTAAATTGTTAATTATTTATTTTATTAGTAAATTAGGGGTGAAATATTATATTTCTTAGATTACTAAGAAGAAAATATTAGATATATTAAAAAGAAGATGACTAAAGAGAGTAATTAAATTGTTAATGTTTTCTATTAATTATTTTATGTTTGATTATTTATTATTATAAATCTTTTATTAATATAATATATTATTTTCTTTTTATAAAAAGTTTACTATAATAATATGTAACTTTTTTTTTATTATATCCAACTATAATAATTAAATATATGTAAACTATAATTTAATATTATCAAAATTTATTTTCAAAAAAAAACTATGATATATGTAGAAATTTAATTAAGTAATTGGCTAAAAATATATTATTTTATTCGATAAAAACAAATAATCCTAATATTATAAGTTTTAAAATAAAGCTAAGTTATATATTAATAATATTAGTGATAATTATTCATTTAAAGAAATATACTATTATAAATATAATTGGATATTTATATTATTTTCATTTGTAATAATTAAAATTTCCAAATATTTTCAAAATATACCTTTTTTGTTTAAAAAAAAATATTATAAAGTAGAAAATAAATATTAATTTAATAATATGAATTATACATATATTCTTTATTAAAAATAAAATAGTATAAACTTTTAATTTAATAAAACCCTATAATATAATAAATAACATATTATAAAGCTATTAGATTAATTAATATAGTAATATATAAATCATTTTTTTTAAAAAAAATAAAATAAAATAAAATATTACTATACTGGAAATATTTTATTTTTGTTAAATAAGCTTTAATTATCACTAAAATATTATTATATTAGAAATTAGCAGGAAATTAAATAATAGCTTATAAATTAATATTATATAAATCAATTTAAATAACATTCTAAATATATTATTACATTATTTATCTATATTATATATAATAATAAAAATAAAATTATTTTTAATATAATTACTATATCCTATCAAATTTATTATTATAAATGAAATAATTTAAATCACATTCAATGTTAAATAAATCAATAAAAATTCAAATTATATATTTAATTAATTAAATTAAATCTCAAGATTATAATAAAGAAATTAGTTTATTAATTTCAAGAATTAAGTAATTAAAATAAAGACGAGATTGTGATAAATATTGTGAATTAAAATATTTTGAATATCAAGATAAAAAGAAAAAGAAAAAAGATGAGTTACAGTAAAATTTCTTAATCTCTGAAACTTAAATAGTGATTAAAATATACTTTAATAATTTTCCAATAGTTATTTAAAAGAAAGTAAAGTATTTTTTTTTAAATTATAGATACTAAAAATAAGTAGGTAATCAGTTAAAATATATCAGCCATACAATATTATTATCAAATACTTGTATAGTTTATTATTTAAGTAAGAATTTTTTTTCTAATTAATTTAAATAATAAATTATATTAATGAATTTTTATTTAAATTTGTTACTGAATATAATCATAAATATTTTATATAAACTATAAACTATATTTAATATCTAATATATATTACTTATTTAAATATACCTATATTTTTATTATATTCTATATTATTATATATTAAAATATATTGGGATATATTTTATCATTATTCAACTTCCAATTTTATTAAATTTGTAATTTTATTCTATATTAAAATATTAAATATCAACTATATACATTTATTATATTAGGTTTAATATTATACTAGAATATTAAATATTAATTTATCTTAGAAGTAATCTAATTTTTTTTCCATTAATAATATGTTAGATAATTACATTTACTAATTTAATATTTAAATGTTGATATTTTTAACTATTAAGTGTCTTTTATTTATTAATTTAATTATTATATCTTAATAATTTTTTCAAGAATATTATCATTAGTAAGAGAATGGGAGAATCTATTAAAAAAACTAAACTAATTTTTTTTCTTATACTAGTTAAAAATAATCTTTAGGAAAATTTATATTCCATATTGTTTTTTTATAGTTTATTTTATCTATAATATAATATTCTAGTGTAATAATGATATATTACAAAAATTTAAAAAAAAAAAAAGAAACATCTACTTAGTCTTTATAGTTATTCCTTTTTTTCTAGCAAAAATATTTCTAGAAATATTTATTTCTTATTTATTAACTTTAACACTATATTTGACTTTAAAATAAGAATATCAACTTTAAATTACAGAAATCTTATTTTATTATTATAAATGTATAATTATTTAATCTTAACAAATTTATGTTTTGAAATTTCCTTATATTATATATAATATTATTAAACTTAATATTAAAGTTTGTTTGAATACAATAAATAAGATCCCATTCATATATTGATCTTTATTGATTTTATAATTAAATTTTATAATTTAAATAGCTCAAACATTTATAAAATCTAGATATAGTCAATAAATAGTGAATAAATTCCAAAAATTATCAGCTCAAGTAAATAAAATTGAACCATTTAAAATAAGTGAATTTAAAATTAAAATAAAAAATCAATATATATTAATAAATATATTAATAAAGTTATTTATCAATATTTTGTTTTTTTTTCCACTAAAATATATTTAAAAAAATAAAGGGTATTATAAGAAATTATATTACATAATATTCAAATAAATTTATTTTTTTTAAAA